GTTGTACTTCAGGATAGATCTTGAAATGTTCTTTTTGATGATGAATGCAACGCCATTCCTCTTCAAGTTGTCATTCCCGGCATAGTAGAACGTATGATTGTCTGATTCAAAATGGCCAATAGCAGTCCATTTCAGCTCACTAATGCTTAGGATATCGATCTTTATGCGTTCCATTTCAGTTTTGACGATTTCCGATTTTCCTAGATTCATACTTCCTACATTCCACGTTCCTATTATTAATGGATGTTTGCAGCTGTTTCTTCTCATTTTGGATCGTGCCACATAAGCAAATGAAGATCCTGAAAGCTTGACTCCATCCACTTCATTAAGGTCAAGTCTAATTTGAGGCGGCAGCTCTTCTCCAGTCGTCTTTCTAGTGTCTTCCAACCCGAGGGGCTCATCTTCCGGCACTATATCGGACAATGTTCTGCTGCTATTCATAAGGTTTTCACTGGCTAATTCTTTTCCGAAGTAGATGCTGGGTTCTTTTTCCTAGTCTGTCTTAGTGTGGAAGCTCCGCTGATACGTGTCCGTTATGGGTGACCCTGCTGGTGTCTGAATACCGGTGGCATAGCTTCCAGCATCACAGCAACACACAAGCTCCCACAGAATGATAAACTGACAGACACTGGGGGATGCATTTATATACATATATAAATGCACGTGCATACTAAGCTTGCCAGATTCAGGAAATGAAAATACAAGACACTTAGTTAAATTTGAATTTCAGGTAAACAACGAGACGTTTTGATATAACTACGTCCTATGCAATATTTGGGACATACCTATACCAAAAAGTTATTTGTTGTTTATCTGAAATTTGAATTTAACTAGCATGTTATATTTCACCTGGTAATCCTAATACATACAAATGTACATACCGCATACATATAAATGTACACATACACATGCATAAACACATTTGTTGTTGTTAGATGCCATCGAGTTGATTCCAACTCGTAGTGACTCCACATGACAGAGTGGGACTGCCCCACAGGGTTTTCCTGGCTGTAATCTTTATGGAAGCAGATCACCAGGTCTTTCTCCTGCAGAGCTGCTGGGTAGTTTGAACCACCAACCTTTAGGTTAGCAGTCGAGTGCTTAACCATTGTGCCACCAGAGCTCCTTGCACAGACACATAGATGTTTTGTAGAAATCATGAGTTCACATCAATAGTTGGGCTGACTCAAAATTCAAAGGGAGGAGTTTGCTTCACGGATAGGAATTGGAAATGGATTCCAGACAGGGCAAATGGCATATTATAGAACTTAAGAGAAATTCCATGAGATCAGATTTTACTGTGTGGTAGGCACAGGCAAGAGAGAAATTTTTTAAACTGGTAAGTGACATGGTCAGATCTTACAGATTATCATCCTACTGGCACCAAAGAGGCCAGACTAGAGAAGGTGATACAAGAGGCAAGGATATGTTTAGCAGGCAACTGCATTTGTTCAAAGGAGAGGTGGCAAGTGCCCAGAATACAGCAGTGGTCATGAGGATGGAGAAGAGGAATTCAGTTAAAAATGGTAAGACTTGATGACTAGATTTATAAAGAGTTAATGTATAAATTTGGAGCCCTGGTTGCAAAGTGGTTAATAGCTTGGCTGCTAACCAAAAAGTCAGCAGTTTGAATCCACCAGCTACTTTTTGGAAACTCTATGGGGCAGTTCTACTCTTTCCTATAGGGTCACTATGAGTCGGAATCAACTCGACGGCAACGGGTTTGGTTTTTGGTTTTTGGTAATGTATAAATTTTTAAAGGGTTGTTGGAAAGGATGGAATGAACCCTTTAAAAATTTATACATTACCAAAAACCAAGATGGAATGAAAGATAATGCTCATGTTTCTGGCTGGGACAACTGAGGGCGGGAAACACTGGAAGAGTAGACTTGGAAAGAGAGATAAAGAGAGGAGTCTAGTTCTGGACATGCTGAGTTTGATGAGTTGGAATCAACTTGACGGCAATGGGTTTGGTTTTTTGGTTTAGGACATCCAAGCCGAGATGTCCAGAAGGCAGTTGCGTCTGTGGGACTGGAGCTCAAGAGAAAGGTCAAAATTGAAAAATATGGACTTGGGAGTCATTTGCATTTTGACAGATAAAGTTGTAGGAGCAGACAAGATTGTCCAGGAGGAAGTTGTAAAATGGAAGAGAAGAGGAAGAGAGTGTTGAGGATCAGCAATGATCAGGGGACAGGCAAAGGAGGCAGATCCAGCAAAGGAGACTGAGGAGTGGTCAGAAGGTTGAGTGAAAGTCAGGGAAGTGTGAGATCATAAAAACCAAGGAGGGAGAGATTTATCAAAGAGGCGAGGGGCCAAATACTGCAGAGAGGTCAAGATGGGTATTGAAAAAAAAAGTTTCCTGGATCTGTCCATTAAGAGCTCATTGGAAACTTCATCAGGGTAGATTACTGAGGTAGAAGCCTGGTTAGGGACCAAGTGCAGAGGAGGGAGTGCAGTAGAAAGAACATGGATCCTGGAGACAGACAGGCCAGGGATTCAAATCCCAGCTCCCTCCCTCACTAACATGTTATTCAATATTTCTGTGCCTCTGTGCATTTGTAAACCGGAACTAACAATAGTGCATACCTCATAGGGTTGTTGTGAGGGTTTACATGAGCTTAACCATGTAAACCACTTAGTGCAGTATCCGGCCCAAAGGAGGTGGAATGCTCTATTTATTAGTTCAGGGCAGGAAACAGAAACCACTGAAGGTATCTCAGGTGGGAGAAGTGGAAATCAGGGGGCTGCCTCTGGACTATTGACTTCAAGGTCATCTCACTATAGTTGTGATCCAGACTTCAGGAAACTTCTGCCATTGCTCCTACCACTGATACAACTTCAGCCCCTCACTCACAACGTTGTGACTTGACACACTGGAACATGGAGTACAGATGCCACAAGCACATCTTTGAAACCTGCCTGTCAGCCACCAAGCCCCAGGAAGATACCTTCTACCTGACTTAAGCCTGTCAAACCTTGTTCATGTGCATCTCATTGTCAGAACCAAAAATTTATCAGAACCCACACTGTATACAGAACTCTAGCTGCAAGGGAGTCTGGGAAATATATTATTTTAGCTTTCCGGGGGGAAAGATAAAAGGGGTAGGAATGGGTGCTGAGTAGCAGCAGATAATATCCAGTTTTCTATCCTGAGGTAGAGAAAATTTTATCATTCTAACCACTGAACCAGCATTCCAACTGTGGTCAAAATATAGGATATCACTGACTGACAAAATCCTGCAAAATATAGAGGATGGAGACAAGACTAAAAACCAAGGATAAACTTGTATTGGAAAATGGATATGTCTTTCTCTAATATTGGAAGAAAAATGGTGAGAAGGGGTATAGACAGTTTACAGGTTGGAGTTAGAGGTCAAGAGGGGTGAAGAAGTTAAGGAAGGTTCTGTCTCATGGCATCTATTTTCTCTGTAAAGTAGGGAGCAAATGTCACCTGCCTGAGTGAGAAAAGCAGAGGCTGACTCGGGGGCCTAAAGAGAGTGGACTAACTAATGAGGGAGATGGGAGAGGAAGCTGATCCAGCACAAGAAATCTCTCTGCACGACGGCTAGTGAAAGAAAGAAACAAAGGACTTATTTTATAAAGCATTGTTATTCTTATTTATTGAAAATGTCCATTTTAAAAGTCTTCAAAATAAAAACAAGTTAGAAAAATTGAGCTTGTGTAAGAAGGGGCATGACAGAAGAGGAACTGAAAGGCCATTAAGGGCAGCAGTTTAATTACAGGGTAACAGGAACCCATCGACATAGTATTGTAAACAACACAATTATAGAGACACTGCTCTCAGGTTAACATGGCTTCATTTCCTTTATATTATTGTTTAGTGTGTGAGCGCATGACACCACTCGGTACCGAGGGCCTCCCAGCAGGAAGGCGAAGTCCTAACACATGCATATGTACACATCACTTTCAAAGAAAGACCTTTCACTATTCGAAGCAATCCTATAACTTATCAACTAAAGTCTTTTGCAACCACAAAAAGGTTTCCTATGAATACAGTTGGCACATTTATTGCAAGCCGTTGACTAACAGCAGACAGGGCAGATTCTAAGATGTGAGTTGTAGATGGTTTAAATTTTCAGGTGAGGGTTTCATATCTAAACGCTGTGCTGAAAACAACAACACCCCTTCCTAGAAATCTTCACTCTTCAGCTTCCAAAGACGGCTGGGTATGGTTGGCTGATGCTGGACCACAGGAATAGTCCACTCCCTGTGGATGGCGTCATTTCTACTGTGTAGCCAGCAGACAACAGTCCCCAGTTATGGGACCCCGAGACCCCACCCCCAATATCAGAGAGAAAAAGAGCTCCTTCAGCAAGCTGGGAGTTTCAAACTTCAAGTTTGGTTTCTAAACAACATTTGCAAAACCCACATTTGCAGGCACCCATCAAATGTACCTGGAAGACAGCTTTGATCAGTCCACTGGCTCTTTGCCTCTCTTTCTAGTGATCTTCCCCATCCAGCCACACTTCACCTGTCTTCGGGGGTGGGAGGGTCTACTCTGTCCTAGAACCTGGGGCAAACTCTCAACTGTGTTGAATTTGGATGTGTGCTGCCCTCTGTGACTCTTCTAAACCTGGTTTCTCACCGTTCTAATTTCTGGGAGACTTCCAAAGTTGCTGATATGATTCAATGAGCAACCTGAGTAAATCAGCTCTACTAGTAACCAGCACCCAGATACCAGAGGTGCCCTTTCATTCTGGATATACAAACTGGACCATCAGCACATTACTGCAAATAATGCTTAGCTTCTTACTCAAAGAGGCCAACAAATATTACAACTTCTTACAGCATATATGGGAGAGCAATAAGGTGAATGAAAGCTGTCTACTAGGGTACAAGATCTCTTCAATGCAGATTGTTTTGAAGGATGAAAGGTCACAGCTTGAATGTGCAATGTAGAGAAAGTAACTGCTCACAGTCTAACTACTTTTTTAAGAAGTAAGCAAAACACACAGATACTAGGCTTACACACTGTTTGGTATGGTTGGTAAAAGCACGGGAAGTACAAAACTTACACGCTAGTCAGAAGGCTAAGAAAAAAGCCCATCATGCACTATGAAGAGGTGGTCAACTCTGCTGCTGAGGGAAGGGCTGCTTAGTGCGATTTGCTAAGGGATTTGGCATTGGCTTGAACGACCAAAACTTCTGCCCCACTGAGTTAAAATGTAAACCAACAAAAAAGGAATAAGGGCACTGTTGTTTTCTTCTAACAGACAACATAGGGAGTAATCAAAAAAAGGTATGCACTGAGAGGTGGCACGGGATGGGCTAGGGAAGGGCAGCGGGATCATTCAGGCAAATACGTTTGTCTTTCATCCTACTCTAGTCATAGCCCAGGACACTTTGCCTTCAGCACATTAGGTACTGAGGGGCTTCCAGGTATAGGAAAGTTTGGGGGGAAAATTTGGGTTCACACTTAACCAACCATGGCCAGCCACTTTGGGACAGCAGCTGAGCCCAACAAGAGTGACCTGAGACAATGGTTTTGCAGAGGCACTGTGAATTGAAGGCCATCTGAAGACCATTTAAAGTCATTGGCCTGCATTAGCTTTCCTTTTCTTATTGAATGGAAAAGACTCTGGGGAGACTTCTACCACCACCTCTTGCTTTTTCCTCTGTTTAAAAACAAAACAACCAACTAATAACCAAACAACAAACACCCAGGCAAAGATACCACACACACATACAGAGAAAGAAATAAGAGAGAGAGAGGGAGGGAGAGATGGGAGAGGGACACAGAGAGAGATAGAGACTCAAACACAAAATAAAAACCAAAGAAGTGAGCAAACTGAGTCAAATCACTCATCTGGACATTTCCAGATGCCCTGAAGGCACACTCTGCCCAGCTGCACAGTGATGGTTATGGAAGAATCGAGGTCTTGCTACTGGACTCAGCCCGAATACACTCATCCGTTTGCTTCAACAACCTCCGGACCAGCTTTTCTAGGTCCCTTCTTGATTTCAATTCTTCTTCCAGGCATTGCTTCATTCTTTTATTCTCCTACAATGGGAAAAGACTCATTAATTACCAAACCGGTGACCCCTTCACAGGGCTCCTCCCTCACCTTCTCAGCAGCCTTCACCACTGGCTATGTGTTCCTTCCCCAAACTCCCCTCCCTCAGCTTCCAAGACAAGGCAGTCTCCTGGCTGTCCTTCTTCTCTCTGACCACCACCTCTGCAATCGTATTTTATGAAATATTGGCATTCTCTAAGACTCTGGCCCTCTTCTCATTCAACACTCTCTTCACTTAGTGTCTTTCAGCTCAAGGGTCTACTAAGGGGCCTCCTGAATCTCTCTGGGTCTGACCTCATCTCCTGAACACCAGGCCCACAACTCCAAATGCCAACTTGCTACAAGCACCTAAAACTCATTGTGTCCTAAACTGAACTCAATATCTCCTCCATCACCCCACACTTCTCTTCCTGTGCTTTCTGATCTCCATGAGGGACACCACCATATCAAACTGGATACCGTGGTAAGAAACTTCATCTTTAATCCTAGATTTTTTCTTTTTCTTTTTTATTTATTTTTTGTAGTGAAAATATACAAAACAAAACATGCCAACTCAACAAATTTTATATGTACACTTCAGTGACTTTGACTACATTCTTCAAATTGTACGACTATTCTCGCTATCCTTTTCCCAATCGTTCTACCACCATTAGCATGAACTCAGTGCCCCCTAAGCAAAAACTCCCCCTTTTCCCCTCCCTCCTACCCCTGGTAACCACTATTAATTTTTGGTTTCTATATATTTTTTTATTTCATATAAGTGAGATCATACAGTATTTGTCCTTTTGCGACTGACTTATTTTACTCAGCATGATGTTTTCAAGTTTCATCCATGTTATGGCATGCATCAGGACTTATTTCTCTTTATGGCTGAGTAATATTCCATTCTGTGTTATATACCACATTTTGTTTACCCATTCATCTGTTGATGGACCTAATTCTTTCTTAATCCCAACAGCACATCATCCTCTTTGATAGGTTCTAACTCTGCAATGTGCCTTCCTTTACATCCATTCTCCTCCTCCACGGCCTCATTGGCACTACCTTAGTTCAAGACTTCGTCATGTCTCACCCTCAGTTTTGAAATAACCTCCTAAGTGGACTTCCAGTCCCTGGGTTCTCTCCTCTCCAACTCATCCATAACCCTGCTACCACCAGGTACAGTCAGTCCACAAACACACTGGGAGACAAGTTCTTGGTCAGATCTATGACCCACAGGGAAGAGTGTTTATCATGGAGCACTAATCATATCTGCAGAGGAGCCCACAAACCACGATTTATGGTTCTGCTTACACTGACACAGCCAAGAATGACTTATCTTTTCTTAATCCTGTTTATAGGGGTCAGGAAACATGGAAGTCGTAACTAAGTTTGGGACCCAACTGCAAACTGCTAAATAGGAATTTAAACAAGCCTCAGAAAGAAATTTAAACCCAAGGCCATGCGCTTAAAATCAACAAAACCTACTTTATAATAGAAGGAAAAGAAAAGTCCCCACCTCACCACTTTCCTTCTGGACCTTCCCCGACAGCACCTACAAGTGTGTGGCAAGGAAGAGGGAGTGGTTCTGCTTTGGTCTGAGAGAATGACTTTCATATTTGATTACCTGCTTCAGTTCTTTGACCTCATCCTTCAAGGCATAAACAGTATCAACGAGGCTCCTAGAACATAGAGATAATATTCAGAGATGAATTGCTGGAGCTGAAGAAGTACTACTTAACATTGAAAGCAGATTTATAAAAGTACAGGTCCTGAAAAGCAGTGGACTTTCTAGCTGATCCATATAGTTACTTGGGAAGGGCACTGCTCTGAATAGTCCCCGTATACCTTGTTTTTATGGGCTAACAACAACCCCTCACATGCTCATTCAAACGCCATGCCACTGCACCTTTTCCATGCTTCCCTTCTCCTTTGCCACTCACTTCCCAGCTCATATGAATACAAAAAAAGAAGGTAGGGCCCATCAGAAGGTCTTGGTTACTCTATCTCAGGGGCAGTAATGAACATGACCTAATGTATGATGAGAAGTATCACAAAGCCATGACTATTCTACAGTATCTGTGCTATGGCATTGCCTTTCTCATCTATCTGACCCTCCATGACCCTGTTGTTGTTAGGTGTTGCCAAGTTGACTCAGAGCGACCCTATAGGACAGAGTAGAACTGCCCCATAGGGTTTCCAAGGCTGTAAATCTCTATGGTAGCAGACTGTCACATCTTTCTCCCACAGAGCCACTGGTGGTTAAAACCACCAACCCTTCGGTAGCAGCCCAGCGCTTAACCTTTGCGTCACCAGGGCTCCTTTACATGACCCTACATGACACAAAGTCAGGGGTATTGTTTCTAGAAGATTCCTCTTGAAACGTACATATATTACCAAAGAGAGGACGAAGCACCCTGCCTGGTTGTGGGACTGCTTTTTCCTCTCTGGCTCTTTCCCTGGACAAGAAGTTTGGAGATCTGAGTTCCAGATCTGATTCTACCACTTACTAGTCCTTTAATCTTGGATAACCAGCTTCCTTGTCATCCTCTCTGGTCTCAGTAATACCACATTCCATGAAAACCTCACAAAATTGTTGTAGGAATTAATATAGCTACAATAATTATTATTAAAATGATCATTATTTATTGGGTGATGACCACATGCTAGCCTTCACACTTATTATTCCATTTAACCTCACAACAACCCTGAACATATTATTATCATCCCCATTTTAGAGACGAGGAAACTGAGGCATGTAGCAGTAAAGGAATTTGTCTCAGGTCACACAGCTTGTGAATCGCTGACTTGCCCCAGTGCTCTATCACTTCATACACCAGATATAAAAATACATTGAGAGTGCTAAGCATTTTGAAACATGCTGCTCTATGCAAATTCAAGGCCTGACTTCAGAAATGACTCAAGTTTAAACAAATGAATTATTTGGTTACTTTGTGTTTATTTTCTGAACCATGAGGTACTTAACCTGATTTTTCCCCATTAGGTCACACTTGCTACTAAACAGAGGGAGGCTAGAGACATAATTTCCCTGAACCTCAGTTTCCTCAACTGTAAAAGTGGTGAGAGTAATGTCTCACCCGATTGCTGTAGGGTTTTAAACACGGTTATAAGTATGTGAAATTCCAGTACCTAACTCCATAAATGTAAGACGCAACCCTCTGGGCAGGGAAATCAGTGCTGGGCCTTTTCATGCATCTCCTAAACCTATTCAAACCGAAAAAATCAAACCAGTTTCCATGAAGTCAATTCCAACTCATGGCAACCCGATGCATTTCAGAGTTGAACTGTGTTTCGTGGGGTTTTCATGGCTGTGACCTTTCAGAAATAGCTCACCAGGCCTTTCTTCCGAGGCACCTCTGGGTGGATTTGAACTGCCAACCTACTGGTTAATAGCCTAGTGCTTAACCGTTAGTGCCATCCAGGGACTCCTAAACCCCTCCAGGGCACCAATATTCTCCTGTGCTATGAAGCACCTTGCTGTACAGGGCAGCTGGCTCCAGTAGCAACCACCACACTGAGCCATTCCAGAGTGTTCTGGGCCCTCTGCCTCTGATTTTCCCTTCCCCCTTGTTGGCATCAGCCTTCCCAAGGCTACCCAACGCACGCTCAGCAAAGAGGGCCACATTCCCAGATGAGAAGGGACTCTCCTTCAGTGCCCGCTTTACAAGAGCCACCCTGCCCTGCCAGAACCTCCTTTCCAGCCCCCAGACAAACCGGGAAAGGATTAGCCCACTCTACTCACTTTTCTTCAGTGATCGTCTGGCCATTACTTCTGGTTTCTTCAATGATGAGTTTCTCTTCCTCAGGGAGTAAGACTTGTGGAACAGAATCTTTGCGAGTACCTACAGACAAGGGTTTCAAGAGACAGGAGATGGAAGAGTTACTAGTGAAGTATATTTATAGGTGTGAGTTCCTTTCTACTGCTGTTATTGATGGGCCTTGGTTGGTAACGTGGTGCTCCCTTGCACCCAGAGGACAGCCACCCAACATTTGCTGACTGAATCTTCCTGACAAGAAAAATTCTAAATGTCCAAATAAATTGATTCAGTGGGGGTGGGGGAGCATTTTATATTCAGAGAAATAATGTGAAAGGGTCACTGGTAATACCTCTTCTCACCCAAGACACCCACTCTTTGCTGCTTTGCCTCTCCCAAAGCAAGGAGTTGACCACAGATTTCCCTGTCCCTGGGTGGTGCAAACGGTTAAATGCTCAGCTGCTAACAGAAAGGTTGGAGGTTTGAGTCTACACAGAGATGCCTTAGAAGAAAAGCCTGAGGATCTACTTCTGAAATATCAGCCATTGAAAACTCTCTGGAGCACAGTTCTACTCTGACACACCTGGGGTCGCCATGAGTTGGAACTGACTGCATGACAACTGGTGACTGGTTAGCACATCTCCGGGGCATGATGCACCATACTCTACGCTATGGTATTACGTGATTTTAGTAAAACTTATGTAGAGAGTAGCACTGCACTGGGACATCACGTGCTTAAAGGACCTCAGAAACATCACTGACTCTCCTTTGTTCTCTTCAGAGTCCTATCGGGTAAGGTAGGATCGGTGAAGACTGATTCCACGTTGGTCACGGGTAGAGTGGGGTTGGGAGAGTATCACATCAGCAGCAGAGATGCAGGCGTCCCCAGCCTATGCTCAGATGTTCTCTAGACACGGGTATTACCAAACGGCTCTTCTGCACCTCCAACCTCCCCCTCACTTCTGGATCTTTCCTCTCAGGTCTCATAAATAAGCTTCAAGGCCCTTGACCTTTGGCCTCCCTGAGCCACTGCGCTTCTCTCTTCTGAGCCAAGTTCTTTCAGAGTTGTCTACACTCTCTGCTTTCACTCACTCACTTCCCTTTTATTGAGGGCAGATGCATCTCTGCCTTCTACAGCGTCTAGCAGTTCATAGGTGCTTAGTAAGTGGGTAACAGACTGACAGTTCTAAGGAAATGCGACTTGTGGTTGGGGAGGGATACAACGTGATAGGTCACCGTGATGGTAAAATGCCTGCTGTGTGCTAAGTACTGTGCCAGACACTTTCCACGTGTCCATGGTGGGCTAGGGGGGAGGAGGGGCAAAAATGTGACTCTTGAGGCCAGAACACCTGCCTCTTTGTAGATTTATCTACATGAAAAGAGGTCATAGGGGGAGGGAATGAAATCAAATTTTGTGTTTAAAAAAAAAAACAGTTGCTGTTGAGTTGACTCTAATTCATGGCGACCCCATGTGTGTCAGAAAAGAACTGTGCTCCACAGGGTTTTCAGCAGCTAATTTTTTGGAAGTAGATTGCCAGGTCTTTCTTCTGAGGTGCCTCTGGGTGGATTCGAATCTCCAACCTTTTAGATAGCAGCCGAGCTTATTAACCATTTGTACTACCCAGTGACTCCTCTTTTGAATTAGGGATGCTTTTTCTGGTGTTTCTTTGTCCCTCTCTCTTTCCTAATTCTCATTATATAACTGCTTTCACTTTCCTCCCCTGGCTCCTGGAAACTTGTCATCAGAGCTAGACATGCCCCAAGTCACAGCCAGGTTTTGTCTGTGGAGCAGAAAAGCTCCTCTTCACAACCAAATGGGTCAACTTTCACATCGAATGTTCTCCTCATGATAGCCTTGGAAATCTGTTAATTGAAAGAATCCATCAAGGCAGTCTACCTAAGAAATTCCCTCCCACACTCAAGTGATGGGTTACTGGGCTGTCCAAAATGGAGTATTCTGGACTATCTGTTTCTTACACAGGTCCAAACCCCTCACAAAAGGTATCCTGAGTGTCTAGAATAATAGAAGACAAAAGGCACAATTAATGTGACCTGGCTTTTAAACAACACAAGGATGAATCAGAAAATATTATCTCACTTCCGGTTTGTAGCCTGAAAGTTGTTCAGGGAAATACTCTCACCTAATAGCTCCCTATTAGGAGAGCCCTGGTGGTGCAGTTGTTAAAAGCGCTTGGCTGCTAACCGAAAAGTCGGCGGTTTGAACCCACCAGCTGCACCGAGGGAGAAAGACATGGCTGCTCCGTGGGAGAAAGATGTGGCAGCCTGCTTCCGTAAAGACTTACAGCCTTGGAAACCCGCTGGGACAGGTCTACTCTGTCCTACAGGGTTGCTATGAGTCGGAATCAACTCAACGGCATGGGTTTGGGGTTTGTTTTTGTTTGTTTTCTTTGGTAATAGTTCCCTGATATTTTTTATACATTTTGAACAGCCCCTGCTAAGTAGCTACATTTCCAGATTTTCAGAACTCTGAAACTTGAGTTTGGTGAAGCATGGTTCTCTTAAATATGCAGCTGATCAAAGATAGTATTTCAACTTCCTTTCCAAATCCGCCTATAAGAAGAGATTAGCATCAGTTCACAGACACAGGAACTCTTTGGGCTCTTTAATTCCTAACTAGTGTTGGTGAAGGTATCTGCGCACTTCAAAGGGAAATAACTTAAAAAATATATATTTTTTTCATTTCTATCACCTCCAACATTTTCGACTCTTGCATCTCTCTTTCTCTCTGGGTGAAAAGAAATATTGAGTAAACAAACCACTTGGCAGCAAAACCACCTTATCTGAAAGATGCAGTCCTGCATGGCTCCTTTGCACGAAGCTGCCTGGTTTACACACCCTGCAGCTCATCTGAGTGGCTTTTCTATCTTTCTACAAGGCAGTGAGCAGTTAAAAAGGAACATTATTAGCTAGAGAAAGTAGTTTGGGGGAGCCTACTTGAGCTATGGAGCCCTGGTGGCACAATAGTTAAGTAAGTACTCAGCTGCTAACCTAAAGGTCGGTGGTTCAAACCCACGAACCCACCCAGCGGCTCTGTGGGAGAAAAGACCTAGCAATCTGCTCCCATAAAGATTACAACCTAGCAGAACTATAGGGCAGTTCTACTCTGTCCTATAGGGTGCCTATGAGTCAAAATCAATTTGACAGCACACGACAACTTAAGCTATGACCTTGTTGGAAATTTGCGCTGGTACAGTAGGCTTCGATCACTTTGAGAATCTGAGCATCCTCTTCCAGAGCAGCTGTACCTGTCAAATTTAATTCATAATTACTTTTTGTAGAAATAGATGCCTCGTGACCCTCAAAATGATGCAGTGCACCCCATTCCCCGGGACTGGCTGCTCTGACCAGTGGTGTCTCTGAAAGGCAGGAGAAAAAGCTGCCCAGCTCTCGTGAGGCAGCCAGAGTGACAGCATCCCCAAGGAGCACTGGGGTGAGCCTCAGTAAGTCAGCACCAAGGGTGGCCTGCTCCTGCAGGCCAGAGCTCGAGATTGGGAGTTCTGCCAGCTGCCTCTTGGAGGCCACAATGACAGCACTGGGCTTGGTGCTGGCTTCAGTTCTCGTCTGATACACCACATCCTTCCTCTCCTTTATAGTTCAAGGTCACCTTCTCTAGGAAGCTTTCTCCCCATCAACCCCACCCATTTTCCAACCAGCCAGCCCAGCCACTGATTCACCCTCCCTCCCTTCTTCCCTTCCAACTCAGTCTTGAAATGACTGTAGGGTAGCATCATGTTCACGTACTTTTGTGCACATCTAAGTGTGGGTGAGGGGTGGGGGATGGAGAAGTTGGAGTCAAGCAAAGATTGATCCAAACTTTATCTCCAACAGATACATACACGTTCTGTCACCTCTTTGTGAGACATCACTTACTCCTTAACATGTGCCCCAAAGTATCTTGTTCACAGCCTTCTAGTCAAGTAGGTACGATTGACTGGCTGACTGACTTTGCAGTCCATCCCTAAATCCAGCCATGTTTCTAGATGTCAGCAGGCTGATTCCTTGGCTAACTGAGAATGTCACTGAGAATTAGACTTCCAGAAAGATTTCAGCCTTCAGGTCTATTTACTCTATCCCTGTACAGGAAATTATCTCAGACATTGGAAACAAAGAGGAAAAACAAATGCATCCATAGCAAATGGGTCCCTTCAGTAGCTCTAGAACCAAGCAGAGAAAAATATTCAGATGATGTCTGCCTAAGACGACGTGAAGTGCAGCAAGAGGCAGCTTATTCAACAGTCTTAGAGGTGACCAAAGCTTCCCATTCATTTGTATGTAACAGACGCTGCTGAGAACAAATTGCTCTAATCATCTGCTTTTTAAACGATTTCTTGTTAGTTCATCCATAATTAACTGTCAGAAAGTACCAAACACATACTTTTCCTAATTACATATTCCTCCTCTGATGGTTTTCTTTCGGTCTTTCTTTTATGAAGAAACTTCTTCATCGTTTTCGGACTTTTACTAGACTCCTGTAAGGACAGAGGTTTCTTAATGAATGAAACTCCTCCCCCAAAAACAATATTAACAAGAGCAAACGGACTTAAATAGAACATCTCTTTCTTATTTTGGTAGTTACGAGCGCATTAAAATTTAACATTATACACATGGCTGCAATAAGCTCTAGAAGGTTAAATAAAACAGAAGCAATGACATTATCCTCTCAATTGCCATAAGAGTGGGAATAGGAATGAAACATGCCTACTGAAGGTGGGGCAGATTCTCCAGGAGGCCAAATGCCTTTAGGGTACTATCTGCAGAGAAAATGGATGTCCACCCTAGAGAAAGAACAGTATTCCTAACTTGGTTCATGTTCCCCACTGATGCACTTAAGGGAATTAAATAACAATTGTAACTACTAATGGAGTATATGTAACTTTTCAAAAAGCTTCAAAAGTATTTAAATAACACATCTATAGCCAAGTTTAAATATACATACGTAAAGTAATATTTTTAGTTAGTAGATAAAACAGATAGGGGTTATGTTGAATTGGTTTTTGTCATAGGAATTAACCAGCAGGTCGACAAAGGTGCTTATTATCAATATCCAACTAAGCAGGTGAGATTCTTATACTTTGTCTTCTTATCCCAATATCTCATGCAATGTATATACTTGGTGCAGGGATAATAATTAGTACTTTAAAAACGTATGAAACAAAGAAGTTTGTTTCTTCCACTTAGCCACAGTGATCCACTCAGACTTGAAAACAGACAGACATGAAAAGCTCGCATATACACAAATAACAGGAACAATAGCATTCTTTTAAAAAGCACACAGGAAAACAGGCATTTTTAAGACATTATAAGATGACATTTTCATATGCATTTCACAAGAGCCTGCTTTTTGAAGTACTTACACGTCAGAACTGTATCTTCATATTTTAGCCACCAATTGTAACAAGGGGCAAAATAAGCGTCAAAGGTTACAGCATAAGCATTAAGATGTCACTGTAAGCCAAAGATATTGTTCTACCCTTACCTTTAAGATATAAGACATCCTCTAAAGTGAATATGTAAAGAAAGAGAAGATGAGCGTGAGAGGTTGATGATTATAATGACCCCATCCATTTATCAATAATTCTAGAACAACATTTGACATGTTAGTGTTATCATAAATTGCACAGAAAGAATATCATCACGTTCCCCACATTAGTTTCAGGTGCAACACCATCATGCAAAAGCCCAAGGAATACAGTTCTGTGCAGAATAACAAATGCTAAAAATTACTGAAATATACACCACGTAGTAAGAATATATTAATCACTCTCTTCCCACAGCAGAAACAAAGTGATCATGCCTTAGTTTTAATAGATTAGTTATGTGAAGGATTAAATCAACTTTACCCTTTAAGCTCACCTTAATTTGAATTTAGTTAACTCACATATACAAAATAGCCGTCATTAAAAAAGGGACCTAGAGAACCGTGAGGTGTCATTCCCAGATTAGGAACTCCAAGAAGAAAATTGGCTGATTGCAGGAATTACAGGTCAATTTCCAGAGCAAATCTATAGGACTGTTTCCCGGTCAAATTCTGAATATAGGCACATAATAAAGATTCAGCTCCAGGGTTATAGCTCCTATCACGTAGATTTGAAGGGATCAACAAACTCTCCAGTGTCCAGATATTTTCTAGTTTTTACTTCACTAAGAGCTGGAGGCAACAATTAATCGAAACAGCAGCATGGTGCTTTGAATCAAAACAAACTCTAACCTGAGCTAAGTCTGTGTCATTCATCAAAACACGCATTTGATATAGAAATAAATGGTGCCTTTGCACTGTAATTCTAAATTGCATCTCATAACTGTCACCCATGTAATCTTCACTCAACAAAACTTATTTAAAGAATAGTTACTAATAAATGAGCCTCTTTCGTAGATGTGAAACAACTAGAAACAGGTTAGGAAAAAAAACCACTGTTGGGATGGAAACGGTAACACTCCACAAAGTTACGGAAGCTAGTGATTGACATTTCCTGACTACAACTTAAAGAAAAAAAGAAGAGGAAAAAAAACCCTTTAAATCCCCACACTACCCAGATATCAAATGTTGTTCTCTCAGGTTGTTTCTGAAAAGCCTTTTTTCAAAAGACATTCCTTTCATTAAATTATTCTCCCTCTCCAACCGCGACAAATATCACTCTCATAGTTCTAACTCGTGACTTGGTCCCATAACACTTTAATAGGTCACAATGAGCCAAAATGCAGAATTTGATCTGCTTGGTTGGAAATTCAACTCGAATGAAGTGGCTCAGGTTGGAGATGTGCACACATCGTTACTAATTTATAGAATTATTGTAATTATTATAAAAGAAAACCAGTTGCACTTTGGGAGGACCCCGGGAAAGTTGGGTGGTGCCCACAAACCCTGCGGATGTTCAATAAACATTTGTGGATGAACAATGGGGGAAGTAGAAAATTAAGAAATAAAAATCACTGGGTCTAGCAATCCAAGCTTGATTGGCATGAATCACCTAGCATAAATTCTAGCACATTCCCACAGAACTATTTGTAGTAAGCTATGAAATTAGCTTGTCAGAAGCAGTTTATACCACATGTAGCAAAATTACCTCTTTATAACCTAGTGCTGCTGATGGTCTAAGTGGAGGTGCAGGTCGTAGACAACTTAAACTCCACGGTTTTATAATTTGAGGAGGCTCCAAGGGTCCTCGGGGCTGTCCAGTAGAGCTAAAAGACTGGGAAAATGTCTGATGAGATGTTGGCAATCTGCCATCTGAACCCAACCTGGTGCCACATAGTGAAAGAATAACAATAGCCTCATTGGATCTAGCATGATCAACAAAGCCAGCCATAGAAAGGGAAAGATGGGAAAACAAAAGTCTCCAGTTTGAGAACTGAAACTTTGCAGTCATAGATTATGGGGTCTCCAAGAAACAGCACAAAAGTGACTCAACATCCCATGATCCTCTCTCTCTTCAGAAATTTCATTAAAGTCAGATTTTTTTTCTCCCTCTGTAAGGCAGGAAGTTGCATAACAGTTAAGATTTAATGGATTCGGTCGTGTGTTTAGCACTGTGTTAGGTGCTTAACTTGGTTATTTCATCAGGACAACCTTAGACTCAGCAAAGTGAAGTAATTAGCTAATAACCGGCAAAGGCAAGATTTGAACCCAGGTCTGACGCCAAGGCCCATGTTCTTCCCACCACAACACACAGTGCTCAGAACTGGAATTTTAGCATCAAAGGTTCTAAGCGTTAACAGACAGCACCACATATCTTCTATCTCACTCAGCAAGTACAGTAAACTCTCATCAATTCAAATTCCATGAATTCTACTTTTGTGGTAACTCAGAAGAAGGCAATGCTAAAAGTTTACCTTTGAAGAGGGTTACTGAAGAAATGGGTTAGCATAAATGAGATTACATGGAGATGCTGAAGTACTTATGAAGGTAAACTATTTGTTTAGACTTAGCACGTTATTAATATGAGAATAACTATTGCTAATTAAGTCATATTGGCTCATTAAAACATCTTAGCAGGACCGCTGGTTAGAAACACTTATTAGCAGTTAGTTGGAATAACTTAATATTATCGAATGAAACTACATACCTCTAAGTCAAACTTTTCACTAATTTTGTCAGGCCTTCACAACAAGAAATCTGAATTAGTGAGGTTTAACTGTACTTCAAAATCCATAAATATGATGAATGATTCAGAGACTAATGGCATGCTCCCTGCTTCTTATAAGTCTTCAGCAGGCAGGGTATGACAAAAGACTCGCCAATCCCTGAGCAGGACAAATGGACTACTTACGGAATGAGCACTGCATGATGACGAGGTTTTGGATAACGAACTGCAAGAGGCAGGTCCTCGGGTCAGTCTGCAGAGCTGCTCCAGCCATTCCTGTAAGTCCTGACTGTTGTTGCAATGGACCACAAGTCTCTCTGTTAGGTTACCTGCATAACCCAATTACGAGCATTGGAAAACAAAAGGCAAGTAGAACCTTGAGCTTGCCTCAGAAACATACTGCATGCAAATAAATCTTGGGTGTCTATTTTCAGGGGTTTCTATATCTATGGGGCGCTGTTGTTGTTAGTTGCCATTGAGTTGGCTCCAACTCGTGGTGACCTTATGTACAACAGAACGAAACATTGCCCAGTCCTGCCCCATTCTTACAATGGTTGGTATGTTATCCATAAGGTTTTCATTGGCTAATTTTCAGAAGCAGATTGCCAGGTCCTTCTTCCTAGTCTGAGTCTGGAAGCTCTGCTGAAACCTGTTCACATGGGTGACCCTGCTGGTAACTGAAATACCAGTGGCATAGCTTCTAGCATCATAGCAACACACAAGCCACCACAGTCCAACAAACTGACAGACAGGTGGTGGATCTATGGGGTAACAGCGTGTTAAAACTTACATATCAGGAACAAATAGGTTGTGATAATAAATAAATAAATATTTGTATTTGATTTAAAAAACTCTCTTGATTTTCACTGCTTACAGAATTTTAAAAGAAGTATAAAATTTCACTGTAAACAAACTCACAAGCCAAAAATTTAAGTATGTCCTTTGTATATGTAGCCCACTTAGTTCATAGTCTTGTGTATTGGTTCCCCCAGTATCAAAGTCAGAACAAGATTAAACTAAGATCAGTACCAATCATTGGGCAAACACCGACTCCTAGGCTCTCTACTTGGAAAGAAGCAGGGAAGGCCTGGGGCCATTATCCCAGTCCCAGCCTCTGTGACACATCAGTGCAAAACAGTGCAGCCATTCCATGTAAATCACACAGGCCTGGCAAAAAAGATAACATGCCCAGATGCCAGTGAGCCTTAGTGATGGCCAGCATTTTGCTCAACTTGCCAAGAAAGTTAACTGGTTTTTCGGCACTTTTGAGAAACACAGCCAAATCTTGCTAATTCCTAGGCTGATGATGAAATTGCTGATAAAAGTCCACATCTTTGGCTCCTCTGCTACCAGGGAATAGAGGACAGAAGAGAGAGAAAATTACATTTACATCAGTCCATTTTGTTATCTCTTAGCTCACAAAAGTAGCTCTTATGCAAGAGAAGATTGGAACTAATGGCAAAGCCGAGGCTTCTGAATGACCAGGAGACTTCTCTGTACACTAATTATCCCAGGAAATGGAATAGACTTTGCCATGCCCGTGTAAAATCTGCACATGGACTATATGATAGAAAATAATAGCACTTATTTATTTAAACCCCACTTCATTCCAAAAAAGATTTGAAGCAGCTACACGAGAAAGAGAAAATTACCTACCTGTGATTTCAAATGTGTAGTCATTCCCCTCAATTTCATCTAATCTTGTCACCACCATTCCTGCTATTGATATTTTTCCCTAGCAGAAAAAGAGAGTTACCATCAATCCTGTGGTGATGCAGGTCTCTGCTTATTTCTATTAGATTTTCTGACCCTCTCAGGAATCACTGCTGAAATATGGTTGGAGATATTCTGACTCAGCGACCCTATAGGACAGAGTAGAACCGCCCCCAAAGGGTTTCCAAGGCTGTAATCTTACGGAAGCAGACTGCCACATCTTTCTTCCATGGAACGGCTGGTGGATTCAAACTGCCGACCTTTTGGTTGGCAGCTGAGCGCTTAACCACTGCACCACCAGGGCTCTTCGGGCAACAGTATACAACCAAAAAAAAACCCCAAACTTGCAACTTATAAAACTCTATATTTTGGGAGCAAACTGAAGGAAGTTTAATTTCCTAAGGAGGTCAATGTCCTGCATCTTCGAAAATCAAATCACGTGAGGTAACTGCAATAAGACAACCATAGCCCCAGCTATGGTTTTCTCAGCAATAAATACATGGGCCTATAAAATGTTGCTGCTAATTTATCTAGTTGTGGGTTTTGATTTCCAATTATCCATTGCCGTCCAGTTGATTCTGACTCATAGCAACCCTATAGGTCAGAGTAGAACTGCCCCATAGGGTTTCCAAGGCTGTAATCTTTACCAGAACAGACTGCCAGGTCTTTTCTCCATGGAGCCACTGGTGGGTTCAAACCGTCGACCTTTTGGTTAGCAGCCAAGCGCTTAACCACTGGGCCACCAGGGCCCCCTGACTTCCAATTACATATTCATAATTTAGCTCATCACCAGAGCAGGAGACATTCAGGATAAACTCATTACAGCAATACAAAGGTCTTTGATCTAAGGAACATCTGCTCTTATAAGCCATTTAATAACAATGAAGGGTCAGAACATTCTGCCTTTTCTGGCTGGAGCTGTTAATGCTACAGTGAAGATAGTGCATTTGGATGGAAACCCGTTTTCATTCTGGGTCCTGCTACTTGTTTTATATGAAATCTACGAACCTGATAGATAAAGCCACTCATCCGAGGACTTGCAGATAGCATTATCAAAACACTTGAAAACAACATGAGGTACCGCTCCTCTTTTTCCTGAAGTGGAATGAAAAAACATTAAATGGGGAAGAAAAATTGGACATTTTTTAAAAGAACTTCTGGAATCACTGTTTGTAACATAGAGCTTATATAATCAACTGAAGCATGAATGGTGATTTTTCTTAAAAAGCTAGCCTACTTAAAAGCACAAAACCAGTTTGATTTTACTTTGAAATGCACAGAAACCCACAGTTTCTGTCTCTCTTTCCTGTACATAACCAAAACACCAAACCAAACCCATCGCCATTGAGTCAATTTCGACTCATAGTGGCCCTATAGGAAGGGGAGAACTGCCTTATAAAGTTTCCAAGGAGCAACTGGTGGCTTCGAACTGCCAACCTTTCGGTTAGCAGCCAAGCTCTTTAACCACTACACCACCAGGGCTCCTCCTAACCACTACACCACCAGGGCTCCTCCTATACATAACAGTTACATACAAATAGTCATGCTTGTTTCCCCCACAGTTAAGGCAGTCCTGCCTCAACTGAAGCCAGTGAGATGTGTTATTCCTGACCATGAAGTAAGCTCTAGGTTCACAAAACAAAAATGTGATTTTAATTGGAAAAGTAGCAAAATGAAGGGGTTTTCGGGTGACAGGAAATTTATTAAACTATAATATGTTTGTTAAACTCTTACTCATAGAATTATGTTTAATCATTAAGAACAGGATAATCATTGTACCCATGTAAACACAAAGAAGTAAATAATTTTTTAATGTACTAAAGGAAACTTTACACAGGAGAGCTTCTCTGCACCCCTTAAACACCTATGCAATTAGTGGATGCAAAAATTACATCTGGTTTTCCCCACCAGAAATCTTCGATACAATGATCCTTATGTCTATCTCCATCTCCTTCCACTCATGTGAGAAGAGCAACCTAGACTGTTTTACTACTAGCTTTGCCTCTTTTGCCTTGAACATCTGCACATCTCCTGTCCTAATGGGCCTTCTCTTATCCCTGTGGTTCTGTAGACCCACCCCTATTTCTTGACATTTTATTGCCAAATCACCTGCTGCCTTCATTTTCTCCACATTGATTTCTTCCATAACTCCACCACTCCTGCTCTCTCAAAGCATCAATAACCGCCTTCTAGCAAAATCCAATGGCCTCTTCTTGGTCGTCATGCTCTTTGACCTCCGAACCTTCTGCAGCACTCAGCACACTGACTACCTTCAAGTGCTCCTCGCAGAATTTCCATGACCCCACACTCCCCTGGTTCTTCTCTACACCTCTTTTGTCTTGTCGCTCTCCCCCACCCTGGCACTGATTCCTGCTCCCTTCACCCAAGAGGTTTATCCCAGAGGTGTGAAAAACTAATAGTTCAACTCACTACCTGAACCTCCCCTAGGGTATCTGCATTTTAAATAAGTGTTCATTAACCCAAAGTAATGAATCTCTGACACAGAGATGTCAGGGAGCACAGGAAGAGGTTTTAGAAGGAAGACCATTCTGACACGCAATAAATCACACCAGATGATGCAATCAACCTTCCTCCCCTCCCCTCCCCTGCCCTCTTCCCAAAAGAAATACTCCATCTTTGGTCCCCTGTGCTTCTCTTTGGATAACTGCTCCCTCGAATGGCACATCTGTTGGCAACATCCAAAGCTCTGACCCTAAGCCTGACCCTTCACCCACAGAACATCTCCACCTGGATATGTACCGGCACTTGAAAGTCAACAGGCCTAAAAATCTAGCCCATGGGTCATTACTTCCTGTTGACTTTCCCTTCTAAATGTGTCTCGAACTTGCCCTTTAGGCTCCATTCCCTCTGCCACCACCCTAGTGGGGCTTACTTATCACTTCCCATCCCAGCTGGCCTTTCTGTCTCTAGTCGCATCCCCTCCAATCTACCTGACATATACAGTTGTCAGATCAAACATCATAAACACCCCTTTCATCATGTCTATCTACAACTCAGGAACCTTTAATAGTTTCTGATCACCTGCTGCATCAATCTGAAATGCTCTTGCTTGATGTCCACAGTTCTCCACAAGCTGACCCTCCCCGACTCAACCTGTCTTTTCTTCACTGTGCCCAGTGGGCTTCCTCTGCTCCCAACAGCTGCTTTCTTCACTGTCCTGCAGAACAGTCACGTTCCTGCTCTCTCCTGAGGTAAGAATGGCCTCTGCCTTATAAAATCCTCCCCTTTTCTCTTCATGGGCCTCCTCCTCAAGTCCTATTTCCATAAAGTCTTCTTCTTGATTGATCCCTTCTCTGACCTTGTATGGAATCTACTGTTGAGGCTGCACAATCTAGCATCGACTATTTTGGTTTGTTTTCTGGTTGCGACTTGTGTTTTACTTTGCTTTTAACACATTCTTTGAAATCAGGGACCGTTGTTTGTTCTTTCCTCCCACCTCCCACAGAACCTAGCAGAGTGTTGGGCAAAGAGTAGGTGCTCAGTTTCGGATTTGAATGTTCTAGCATTTGACCTTGATGGAAGCACAAATAAAGGAAGAAATATATGGACGATGGAAGAGGGAAGAGATAGTGTTTCAATTTGAATACCGTACCTCACATGCTCCGTACTGCACCATTACTTGTGACATAAAAATCACATTGCCCAAGGTTTTAATATCCTCCCCTTCCCATGCCTGAATAGGTTCAGAAAGTATCTGCAACTCCAGCTGTTTTCTTTTCCTCAGATCTTGGCACTGTCCCTGCAGAAGCAAAGCAGAATATAATGGAATGGGAATGCTTACGAAACACACCCAAAACAAGATCAAAGTAAAGATGTGGCTTTTGGCTCCCAGATTCCCACTGCGTCCCTACTCTCCACCGTGAATCCCAATGCTGGTCCCATTCTTGACACCCAGAAGGACCCACTACCCTAAATCTCTATAGCCTGGAGTCCCCAGTAGTTTTGTGGGAAGAGCTACTTTCTTTTTTTCCAGTCTCAAAATAAAATGGCAGAAGGGCTTGTTTTTCCCTCCCTGCAAGGAGTATGGGGAGACAAGTAGCAGAATCACATCAGTCAGAAACAGGAGAGCAACTGGTAGATTCAGATCTGCTGGTGGGCACCAGCTCTAGCTCCTCTCCATAGTGCTTTAGCGGCAAAGCAATTTGATTTTTGTAAAGTATGCTCAGTCTCCAACCAGGCAACGTCTCAAGAACGACAAAAACCAAATAAACAAATAATAACTCTAGGAGTTACAGAAAAAGAGAAAATTAAATTAAATCCCTTATGTCATAGTGAATCAAATCAATCTTATAATGCAACTGAATTTCATGATAACAAACTGAAAATATGAACCAAGAAGTCATTAACTTACAGTTTGCCAACACCATGTGAGGTATGAATACTATATATACATATGCATTCAAATCATTGCTTCAGAAAGTGCAAGGTTATCTTAGAGTCATTAACAGCATTCCTTCCAAATCGGATATGAAAATTAGCATATGGTTAGTCATGTTACTGTTTCCAAATGAATGTAATAGTTTTGGGGAGAGTGTGTTTTCTATAAAATTTCTGCTGTCTCTTTCAGTTAAATGAAGATGAGAAAAAATAAATTCCTTGTACACATATTTCTGAAGCACCATAAATATGCTACAACTGTTGAAGCAAGTAAACATGTAAAGTGATCAGAAAGATATCTGGTTTTAAAAATTTTATATTCAATATACTCAGGAAAAAAATAAAAAGGACGCAAATTATAAGAAATGCCACGGGTTTCAGAGGGGTATACTCTTAGCTTAAACCATATAAAACTGCCAATATTCAACATTTTAACCCACAACAACAGCAATTTTAACTTTAATGCCTTACTCCAGTCTTCAATTTGCTGTTTAACCATAGGCACATCAGTTACTGATCTTTTCGTAGCAGTAAAAATTAGGTGGCGGTCAATGCTGCATGACAACCTTATAGCAAGGATGAATAAACATTGATCTATCACTTAGAATGCTAAACTTAACCAATCACTCATAAATAAATCACAATAAAGTTTTCTTTCCTTCTAAAATGGCACCAAGTGGTTTTACATCAATGGGTTTAAGAAGACACTCTAACCATCATGCTCAAAATACAACATTACAAGTACCTTTGAATAAAAACAAAAATCCATTGCCGTCAAGTCGATTCTGACTCATACATAGCGACCCTATAAGACAGAGTAGAACTGCCCCCATAGGGTTTCCAAGGAGCAGCTGGTGGATTCAAACTGTTGACCTTTTGGTTAGCAGACGTAGCTCATAACCACTATAAGCAATTGCATTTTAGTCATTTTTTTTTCCTTTTAGATTTGATGAAGGATTTCTTTTTCTTATGCAAAGAACCAACTCACACCTTCTGGCATGAATAGTTGAATCCAGCATTGATGCCAATCAGTGAAGGAGCTGGTGCACAGACATAAGGTGAGCAACACTGGGGCAAAGACAAAGGGACAAAAGGAAACCCCCACCTACACAGCAATGCTTCATGTGGCAGAGACCTCAAGTGCAATAGCTTTATACCCTCAGTCTGGCAACCTTTCACAGGTAAGCATGATGTTTGGAAGACAAAATTCAGTGAAACAATCACTGCATACTGTCATCGCTAAAGCTTATTGTTTCCATTCTAAAGACCTTTGCCTAAGGAAAGAAATGTTACACACAAAACACTCCCTTACGAACAAAGCATGCAAAATGGAGAATTAGAATTGTAAAGCATCACCTACCATGAGCGTTTTGAATGCTATGATTGCTTTCAGAATATCCTGATGATCTGGATGAGTATCCTATTAAAGGAATATATTTTAAAACTGTATTAGAAGTGAATGGATGAGTGGTTGCCAGGGGTGAAGGGTGGGAGGAGGCTGTGACTGCAAAGGGACAGCAAGAAGGACTTTTGGGGGTTGATGGAACTGATTGTGGTGGTGGTAGCATGAGTCTATACGTGTACTAAAATTTATAGAAACTCTACTTCCAAAAAAGGTCACTTTTACAGTGTGATAACGTAAAAATTAAAAAAACAAAGTAGTATCCAAGCATTTGGAATCTCAATATCTCCAATTATTAGGTGATTAAGAAATTAAGAGTTGGTAAAATACCACATATTTGGCAACAATAAACACAGGAGGCAAGACTTCCCATTTCCCTTCTTGCTGTTATACTTCAGATAATAAATAAGACTTCTTTTAGGCGGCATCATTAGGTCATGTTGTTAGCAGCTAACAGGAGGTAGGGAATTGTGGAATCAGAGTGGCAGTTAGAGCAAAATCAATCTAATCTCATTTCCTGAAATGCTTCCATTTTCTTTCACAGATTCACCATGGAAGATGGGAAAAATGTCCAAGTTTCATGCAATGTGCGCCTTCTGAAGCAAGACTGTTACACATGGTCCACAATTCCATGGTACTTGTTGTTATCTGCCATTGAGTCAGCCACTGACTCATGGCGACCCCAAGCACTATGGAACAAAACGCTGCCTGGTCCTATCCCGTCCCCATGGTCAGTTGGGGATCAGACCATTGTGATCCGTAGGGTTTTCACTGGCTGATTTGTTGTAAGTAGATCGACAGGACTTTCCTGCTAATCCATTTTAGTCTGGAAGCTCCACTGTAACCTGTTCAGCACAAGCCTCCACTGATGGACGGGTGTTGACTGCACATCAGGTGTATCGGCCAGGAATCAAACCTGGGTCTCCTGAACGGAAGGTGAGAATTCTACCACTGAGCCACCAATGCCTCACCCATGGTATTTACAACCATGAAGTGACAGGTTCAAAACTGGCTTTGAGGAATTCACATCTCCATAACTGGCTGTGAAGGGAAGGTAGAGATTCTTGGGGGTAGACGAACATCTAACCTTTGGAACTGAGCTGGTGTAATGGGAAGATGACCTCTGCTACTCAACCAGCCTTGGGTAATCAAATCCAGAGCTGAGCAGATGACGGGTCTGACCCAAGAATGATATTGCTTATGAAAAGTACACTTGTATTCCTTTACAATAAAACCTTTCTTTACCAAAATCAGCTGATAACAGAATTTCAGGTTTTAGTCTACTGTCAGCCAGCACCCTTGCTAAATAATCAGAAAGCTGGAGAAAGTGTCTCACCCAGAGGGTAACTAGCGCTAAGGGTGTACACTATCTGACGGTGGGAGAGGGAGGTCAGCCAAGACGTGTGACCAATGGCAGCTGGAGGCAGGCAGAGACATGGGCTCCCATACAAGGAAGGCTAGGATTGAGGATCCAAGCAGTGGGAACATCTGGGCTCTTTTCCTCCAAATTAAACCTGTAGCTGTTCTTCTGTACTGAGCAGTAACAGAAAGTGAGGCCACTAGTGTCTGGATTTGCGTGGTAAGCGAAGAGGGGCAAACCTCAAACAGCTCAGTGAACAGGTTAAGCTTTGGGAAAGGCGTCCAGAGGCCAGGCCCTAGGCGAGCCCTAACTGAAATCTCATTCCGGCAGGCCTCACTTGCCAGCTGCCCGCTGCCCGCTGCCTCCAGCCTTCAGGCAGGTCAGACACCTGAGAATGTGGTTTCACTCGGAGTGCATGCTTTCCATCCTTACCAATGCTGATGGGCCCAGCAGTGTGCAGCCTTTCTCTTTAAGATAACCCAACCTTTTAAAACCTCAAAACCTTTCCCCAGACACAGGAAGAGCAACTAGGTAAAAGAGCGGCCCTCCTCTCCCACCCACGCCTCGATCCCCAGCACATGATCTCGCAAGAACGTCTTGAGGAGCTATATCTGCTGATTGTTTTTTAATAACAAGAGCATTTTGGCTCTTGATGAGAGAGTATTCAATTACCAAGCTCACTGCAAATCGTAATATTTACAAAGGATTATAGTGATGTGACAACTGTGGCAGATTGTAAGTTTAGAAACAAAAATGTGAGGCGAAGCCCCGTAAAACCAAATGAGACTAATGAGGTACAGGAGTCCAGTGACAGGGGCCAGAAGGCAGAAGGGGACAAGGAAGCTGGTGATAGGGAACC